TTTTTGCAAATTTCTCAGTTTTTAATAACAATTAATTTTTTTACTATTTTTTCTGTACTCCTAAAACGCCGCCAGTCAACACCTCCAGAGGGATGACGCCAATTTTAAATTATCCTGTAATAATACCAATAGGCCAGTTTGACACCAAAAAGAATTATTTTTTCCCCATTTTCAAAGCATCCAACAGACTTGCACATTTAACCATTCAATCACATGAACTTAAAATTTCCTTGTCAAAAATCCCACAGGCGTTGTTAAAGACATGTCAAAAGTGTTGAATTTTTGGAAAGTTATATCCAAAACACCGCCGATAATGAAAGGCCGCTGATCCTCTTAGCGCTGATTTCTTCCATTCTGTTCAGCTGTCCGAATGGATTAGGCGATGAAGAGACGACGACAAGTCGAATCCGAAAATCGGCAAAATCATTGTGACTTTTAAATTGACTTTCCGCTGTTTATTGTTACGCTTTTGAGCTTAGAGCGAAAGGTGTGTTCCAGTTTCTTTTTGTGCGAGTGTGCGACACATAAATTTGTTATGCTGCTTTGGGGCTGCTGATGCTGAAAAGAACCTTTAATTAACAATGACAAGCAACTATATTGCAGATTTGGGTTTTCGACCACAGAGTCGGGTTTATTTTCATATTTTCGCACATTTTACTGCGTTTTAGTTTATCTAAGGTAATCTGGCCTCTTTGTTAAAATTGAAATGAATCTAAAAATTGCTTTTCTATGTAGCATTTTACAGCTCATTTGCTTTGATATTGGGAATTCTAAGTACCTATAGGTACTCTTGGGGATTTTTTAAATAAAAAAATACATTTTTCCGTTACGGCCCTGCAAAATTTAATTTGCTGGCCCACGGCCCATGTCACTAAGCAAAAATAAATGAAGGTTTTTGCGGGTTTATACTTTTGTAAAAAGGCGGCTTTGAAGCAACCAAAGTGGCTGCAGCCCAATAAGTTTCTATTGACATCTTAATCGTTTGGTCGGCTCAAAGCCACCATAATCTGGTTAGTTTTGCAGATTATAGCGCCTTTATCCCCAAAAACTAGTCTTTCTTTCTTTCACTTTATTCTAGTTTTAATGATAACATTCTTGAAGCAAATGAGTACATTTATGCATGTTTTTAATAAAAGTCTGATGAAAACATTCGAAAGTTTTGATGAAACCGCTGTGGGGTTTCACTTGACCTATTATTTCCCATGAGAGGAGATGAAAAGGAAAAAGCCACATGCCCGTTTTTTTGAACTGTTGTTATTTTAATTGAAAATCTGTTTGTCGTAGTTGAGTCCTTTCAAAATGCTCAGAATCTCGAAAAAGCTGTTTAATTGATTCTAACCGGCCTCACTCCCTCCTCTGGGCGTATTATTGAAATCAATATTAAGTGACTTCAAATAAAAGAGGATTGTTTGATAGCACTAGACTGAGAAACGGGCCCTTAGAACAGCATAATTGTGCAGTACCTTGAATAACTCGAGCTCTAATCGGATAGAAAATTGAGGGTGATTCGATGCTGATTTTTCAAGCATTTGAAGTTTCTGCTATTCGGTGGGAAAATATTGCCCAAGTGGCTTTTGTTCGGGATGATTTTGTTGTTTAGCTAGCCAAGGGTCAATTCATGAACAGCAGGGAATGAGAAAACTGGGCTGTAGACATATTCAAATGCGTCCAGCTCTATTCAATGGGATGACATATGCAACGAACGTAACACAAGTAAAATGCGAAAGAAAACGATAAAGAATTATGCAATGTCTGTGTGAAACAATTCGTTTCACTGGCTGCGGCTTTTCTGGTCAAAGAAGGAGAGCCGATTTGAGGTTTTGGAATTCAAAAACGGGATCTTGTTCATCAAATACGCACTTCTTTGAAATCGAAATAACAGTACCGTTAGTTACTACGTGGGTTCTTTGCAAATACATTCAACAATAAAACTCCCATAATGTGGAAATGGTTTTACGGTTAGAAATTTCAATAATTTATTTGGGTTTCGTTTCTAACTGTGTTTCATGTCGAAGACAATTTATTTCCGATCTTTAGAAACTGTTTGTTTCATTTTTACCGTTTACCACCCATACGCAGACATTATTGTTGCCTTTTGCTGAATGAGTACCCGACATTTTTCTAGTAGGTGTTCTATCGGTTCACCTGTGATATTTTGATTTATGGCAAAGTATGGTAGATGTGGAGGAATTAATTTAATAAATATATTGTACGCTGTGCTTTAAATCAATGTTTTAGCTAAAAAATTCAGGTTATCTATTCGCATCTTAGCTCAAAGGAATTACGAAATGTATCCAAAATAAAAAGGGTAGAAATGGGTATACAGTGACGACTCACTAGTCCGGATTAAGACTCACAGTATACGTTATTATAATAAAAACAAAAACATTACTACATTTTTTCTTTTGCTCTTAGTTTTCGTGATTTTAGTCACTGGAATTCCATTCTTAATGCGGACAATGTTACTTATTCTACTCTGTTTCTCTTGTTTTCTCAGCACATTCTCAGCAAGCAATCAAGCTGCTTTTGCGCCTTTATTTTTCATTTCTTAATTATTCGCAGTCAATCCTTCCACTAAACCTCTTGGTGTAAAAGGTCCATCATTTCCTCCGTTTTATTTGCTCAGTTCCACCAGATTATTGATTTCGGTTTTTCAGTAGAGAAAATAGGTTATTTTAGGAGAGAAAAATTACCTAAATCATAAGCAGATTCTGAAATTTCAAAAATTTGCTCGACTTCTTTGGTCATTCTTCTTAGTTCAAAATTGTTTTTTTTATTTGTTTTAAGACTGAGAAAGAAAGGTCGATCTCTGGTGTTTTTAAAAGAGTTGTACCCAAAATTCAAAATTATTTTGTCCTTGCACCTGCCTCTAAAATTCAGGCCCACTAAAATCTAGCTTAATATACAAGTATTAAAAGTCGTCGAATTTAGAAAGAAATACATTTCTAGCGAGTATGCGGAAGCCAGTAAAGCATCAGGCAGACCTTCTTTAAAAGTAGGAAAATTTGAAGTTGCTGAAAAAAGGTTTTGCTCCAGCTTTGATATTAGTAATTTTCAAATTCTGGAATCACTGTTTTCAAACGTCGAATAAATCAGAAATTGAAATTCTGATCGTAAATTTAAAAGCTTCATTTCAATTCATCAACTTTTTCCCCGTTTAACCAACTTTTATTACCGTACCATTTACCGTTTCCGATGTTACTGACTCATACTGGCCCCTCCTATTCTGTAAATAGCAAATAAAACATTTCAACTGAGGACTTTCAAGAACTCCTGCCAAAAAACACGTAAAACCCCCGGATCCGACCAAATCAAGTACAAAATCCTAAAACTCCTTCCCGTAAAATCGGCCTGGGTAATCTGTGTTGAGTCGCGCTTTTGAGTTAATGAGTTATAACTCCTAACCTAATAGAGAACTTTGTTTCGATTTGGTCCCAAATTCAAAGGTAAAACGGGTATTCGAAAAAGACGATAAATTCGAGTGGAAAACATTTTACAAGGCTGTTAACGAGGCGAATGTTGTATAAATTAAATATTAATAAAATTTATTTTATGTTTTTTTACAGAAAATACCTCAAGGTATAAAAAATAATGCTTTTTTGCGTAGAAATGATTCCTTAATCAAAACTTTGCTATGACTGGAAAGACCCGAAATTTTAAAGACTTCAGAGTCGTGAGGAAAACTTTTGCTCTCTGGTCGTTTTTTTCAATACATTCGGTAAAAAACGACATAAAATTATCTAGCTTTCGTGCCAAATTCGGAGCTCAAAAGGATTTTCTAAAATTCCCTTGCTACAAGCTATAAATTTATCTTGTTATTTTTCGCGGAAAATACTTCCAGATATTTCCGTATTTTTAAGTGAAACTCAGTTCAAAATGGAACATTTTTGAGTAGAAAGTATGGCATGAAAAAAGTTCAGTCAAAAAAAAAGGGATGGTGTGACGAGTTTTCCAAATAATTTATTATAAGCTTACGCTTATTCTGTTATTTATTA